GCTTCCGAAGCGACGGCCCCCCTCAAACGTTTCTCGGCGCCTCGCAGAGTGCAACCTTATTGGCATTGGCATCTCCACCTTTGTGGGCTTTAGCACAGGCCACAGTTAGCCTGTCCGAGGCCACGCCTAAGGCTAGAACACCCATCTTCTTTCCGCAGACGGGCAACCACCGGAACGACACTAACGCCTTCAGTTACACATGCTACACTCCTCTTGAAAAGGGGTCGGCGGCACCCGGGCGAAGCCCTTACAATAAAGAAAGGAAAGGAAAGGGAAAGCCTAAAGGATTCTCAAAAGTTAGAACACGAAGACAAATGGAGAAGCATTCTGCTTTCTAGTGGTACAGACATCCAAGACCAGCTTTACAGCTCCTTTCTGCAACGTTGCTTGTGGAACTTCTTAAACTAACCTGCATAATAGCCTGCTTTAACCTGCTGACTGCCACTTGCCACTGACCCTAGCATCTGTGCCACCTGATTTTGCACCGGCCCGGTGGCTGCCTGCGGCCTATCTTGCTCGAAGTCCAAAGGATCTTGCTCCTGAAATTCACCAACCCACCAGGGCCGAGGCACCATGAATCAGCAGCTGGAATTGAGGCCACTGGCATGAACAGGGTCAACGCAACACGTTCATTGAAGGGTCAACGCAACTGAGAGCTCTTCAAGTTCTCATCTGATTTCAGAACTCTCGCTTTGGTCCTGGCTGATGATGGCCGCATCCGTGTCTTCAGGAGGATTGCTACGGCTAGGTCCTGGGAAAATATCCACACGTTCGGCGACTTTCAGTTCTCTACACACCAACCATCACAGACCATGGAGCAGTGGATGCAGTGAATGCTTTTGGACCTTCAGACTCAGATGTCCTTTCTCCTCCTTCTCTGCAGCTCTTGCTTGCGCCTCCTGAGATGTGGGAGTTTTCTTTCTCCAAGGAGCTCCGAACATGAACGACTTTAGTTTAGTGCGACTCAGAATCTGCGTTTGCCCATTCCCAGACCGCAGTTTTTCTAACCGAACCCGAGTTCGAAAACTGGACGCTCCCCTTCGACTCCTTGGGCCCAATAGCTTCTTGCTCCTAATAGTAAGGCCCTTGTTACTAGAAGCGATGC